CACTACATTCTTTCAGATACAACACCTTTGGCCCAGTATTTACCGTCCCTCTTCTCATTGTCATCCCTTTCTCGAGTGTGCTTAAAGTTAGATTCCGAACTCTTTCCAAACATTCTGTCCTATTTTGTGTTCTGAAGACTTTAATAACCTCTCCTGAGTTCCCGTTTCCTTTCATATTTTTCCACGCATTTGAATCCACCCCCACAGATGTTAACCTGCTGCTTTGTTTCCCATTGGCTATTATACTTCTTGGAGTTTTACCCCACCCTTCCCCCCTACTTTTTAGATAAAGTCCTGTTGACCACCCTATTTACTCTTTTCACTAGAACATTAGTCCCAGCTCGGTTCAAGTGGAGACTGTCCTAACAGTACAGATCCCTCCTGTTCCAATACTGATGCCAGTGCCCCATGGACAGGAATCCCTCTTTCCCACACCACCCTTTTAGCCGCATGTTTACGTCCCTTATTCTTGCGAATTTGGGCCAATTTGTGACATTTGCGCCACACAAATGCGAGGCTATGACCATCACCAATAAGAGACAATCTAACCACAGTCCCTTGACATTCAATGGTATTACCATCACCGAATCCCCCACTGTCAACATCCTGGGTGTTATCATATGACCAGAAACTCAACTGGACTCATCGCATAAACATAGTGGCTACAAGAGCAGGGCAGAAGCTAGGAATACTGTGGCAAGTAACTCACCTCCTGACTCCTCAAAGCCTGTCCACCAACTACAAGGCACAATTCAGGAGTGTGATGGAATACTCTCCATTTGCCTGGATGAGTGAAGCCCCAACAACACTCAAGAAGCTTGACACCATCCAGGACAAAGCAGTCCACTTGGTTGGCACTACGTCCACAAGCATCCATTCCCTCCACCACCAACGCTCAGGAGCAGCAGTGTGTACTATCTACAAGATAGCATTGTAGAAATTCACCAAAGATCCTCAGACAGCACCTTCCAAACCCACGACCACTTCCATCTAGAAGGACAGGGTCAGCAGACATATGGGAACACTACCACCTCCAAGATCCCCTTCAAGCTACTCACCATCCTGACTTGGAAATATATCACCGTTTCTTCACTGTTGCTGGGTCAAAATCCTGGAATTCCTTCCCTAATAGCATTGTGGGTCAACCCACAGCAGGAGGACTGCAGCAGCTCAAGAAGGCTGCTCATCACCACCTTCTCAAGGGCAACTAAGGATGGGTAAAAAGTGCTGGCCAGCCAGGGAACTCTAGACCCCACACCCCACAAATGAATAGAGGAATTTGCATGTGAATCAGGTAGTAATCCAGCTATTATAACCCTTGAGAACCTGTTCTTTAATTTAGTTCCTAATTCCTGATAATCTCTCAATAGGTCCTCCTTCCTAGCCTTGCCTATGTTGTTTTAGTCCCAGCATGGACCACAACAACTGGATCCTCCCCATCCCTCTCCAATATCCTTTCCAGCCAATCAGAGATATCTGTCACCCTGGCACCGGGCAGGCAAAACACCATGCGAGACTCTCGATCCTGCTTACAAAGGGTGCTATCAATCTCCCTGATTACAGAATCCCCTACAGCTACTACTTGTCTTTTTGCTCCCCCCTCTTGAATGGCCTCCCGTGCCACGGTGCCGTGGTCAGCTGGCTCATCCTTCATACAGCCCTGTTCCTCATCCATACAGGGAGTTAGTACCTGTTGAACAAGGTCAAAAGCTGAAGCTCCTCTGTTCCTGAATAAAGGATTCCTCTACCTCCCTCGTTTGCATTCACACTCTGCTGTGCCTGACCATTGACCAAATTTAAGGTACTTAATCTACCAGATGTGACTGCCTCCTGAAATAAAGCGTCTACGTGAACTGTCCCCCTTCCAGATGTGCCACAGTGCCCGAAGCTCGGACTCCAGCTCATCAATTCTGAGCAGAAGTTCCTCCATCAAGCAATATTTGCTGCAGATGTGGCCACTGCAGCTCGCAATGGGATCTACCAGCCCCCACATCATACAGCTACAGCACATCACCTACCCAGCCATCTCTATTTAGTTATTTAAGTTATTAGTTAGTCTTATTTCATGTTATGTATCACATTTTTGTCCCACCACATGTCTGACAGGTTAGCTATGTCAATGTTTCAAATCTCTGGCATCCATAGTCCTTTGTTTTATGATAACTATACCCATACTGTGTTGTTGACTAAAAACAGAAAGAACTCTGGAAACTGGAAATCAGAAACAAAAACAGAAATTGCTGGAAAAATTCAAAAGTTCTGGCAGCATATGTGGAGAGAAGTAAGAGTTAACATTTCAAGTCCAGTGATACTTCTTCAGAACTTCAAAATCCCAGATGTGCTGAGTTTTTCCAGCAACTTCTGTTTTTGTTTCTGTTGTTGACTATCTTCTAAATTATGATCCATTTAATCTAGGAGTTGGTTATCTCTTGTCCTTCATAGCAATATCATAGCAAAACATGCTCCACCACCAACACTTCCTCCATCCTTCAACCAATATACTTTAAATGAGTTAAATTTGTGCCTCAAATGTTCTTTGAAGCATCTTTTCTTCTATTAAATGTAACTGCAGTCATTATCCTGAATTATTCAATTCTAATTCTGAAAATGTTTCCACTTCAAATTGAATTCAAGAAATTGACTAAGAATTCAAAAAATACTCTTGTTCTGCATGGTTTAACTATTAAATGGATGAACTCACTGAACCACTGAGGGAATTGTAAATTTCTGATCAATATGCTACCATCTCAGGGAAAGCAGCTGGCAAAAGAAAGCCAGATTTAAAATGTCATCTTCTACTCTCTTGGACAGCACATTCAATTGGACAGAAAGTAACAAGAGACCCTGGGCAAAACAATCAGCAAAAACATGTCCCTCATTATCAACCTACAAAAAGGTACTGAAGAGGGACAGATAGGCTGATAAGAAAACAGATTCTGGTAGCACATGAATAGTGATGCAAATCAGGAAGGTAAAATGTTGCATGAGGGCCACCAATGAGTTCTCTCATGAGCAATCTGAATATGAAGTGTGCTTGCACATTTCAGCCTGTCGTTTCAATACATACAACAAATGTTTTAAAGATTTTTTTATTGCTCTGATACATAAACTGGTTTAAACTTGCATCTGCTCTTTGAAAGAACTATCCAATTTGTCTCATTCTCCAGCTATTTCTCTGGAGTCCTTCAAGCAATAATAATACAACTAAACAGTGTTGTAGGTAATTTCTGAGATCGATGCCGATGTAATGTGTCATTCCTCTGCAGCATTCAAGGAAATAATGTTACTATAGACCAGATAGCTTGCTATATTTGAAATAAAAAACAAATAAAAAGCCTAGAAAATCTGAGCAGACCAGACATCTGTGAAGACAGGGTCAATGTTTCAGGTCAGTGATCTCTCACAGGGCATGCTTCTGAAAATCGGCCATCGATCTAAAATGTTCACATTATCTCTTTCTACCGATGCTGCTTGTTTTGGTCAGTCTCTTAGCATTTTCTGTGTTTTTTTTAAATTCTTAATCCTAATCCTAATATATCCAACATTTAACTGTTTTATTTGTTTAGCTTGTGGTATAACTGAGATTTAGGTCAAATTGTTTTGTTTCAGTGTCAGAGCTTGCTGACTTTCAGAATTTCAATGGCACTGAGCAGTAGGCAATAGTCTAAGTAATATGGTTTGAATGATCCAAGGACAAATGTGACATGTTTGGATGAGATGACATTGATAAATCACTTCAACTTCACTTTTATGATTTATTGTGTCATTTCAATCACATCAGGTGTCACAGCCTTGTAACATATTCTAGTCTATGTGTTATTCTATATCTATCACATCAATGGAAATGAAAAGCATTCTTTCTGGTTTGACATGACAATACCTAAGTGGCATTCCAATATAGTCTTCTTTTAGGTACGTATTAAAAATAACCAAAATAGTTTTGAGCAGTCATATGATCTAATAAACAACTTTATCTGTAAGAGTCATTTATGAGTTATCCAATTAACTACACTTGTAAAGGTAAGTAACATATTACCACCTTTGTAAAACTAAAAGCTCCTGTATAACACCCAAAGAGGAAATTTTGATTCAATTCGATTAGGTGCTCCATAACCTGAAATGCCTAAATGAAAATAAAAGCAAAATACTGTGGAAATCTGAAACAAACACAGGAAATTCTGAAGGAACTCTGCAGCTCCAGCAACATCTGTAGAGAGAGAAATAGAGTTAACTTTTCCAGTCTGATAGAAGAATTCTGAAGAAGAGTCATCTCAGTCTTTAAAATATTCATTGTATTCCTTTTTCCACAGTTGCTACCAGAGCTGCCGAGTTGCCTAATTGAAAAAGTGAAATTCCCTTTTGGTTGCATTCATAAAATGCATTTTTTTTGAAATGGGGAGTTATCTTGAGTTTTTTTTATTGTTCATAACTGTTCATTTCCATCTGAGTTCAGATTCAAGTTTTGCCGAAATAGCATGAGCACATATACTTGATGAACACTCCAGCACAGTGCTATCTTTAGGACAAGCTAGCAAACTGGGGTCCCATCTTTCCTCTCAAATGAACATAAAACATCCCATAGCATGACAATAAGGAAGGACTAGGGAGTAGTCCTGACTTCTTGATTAATATCCACCTCAACCATCACCACTAGAACATATTATATAGTTATCAGATTGCTGTTTATAGGACTCGACTGTGTGAAATTTGTCAGCCACATTTCTGACTTTGCAACGGTGAATACACATCAGGAATACTTCATTTGTCCATAAAACGCATTATAAGATGTTGAGATCTGGATAAACACCATATGTAACCACTTTGGTGGATAATGTCTGGATGTGCCATTTTTGTCTCACTGCAGTTTTTTCTTTCCTTTCACAGTAGAATTTTTTGCAATAAGATACTGAAACTAAGTTGTTTTGAAATTAATATCTTGTTTCAAAATCTTAATGACAGATTGGATCTACTATCAATACTTTGTCCTGTTGCTATTTTAGGAAGTACCTGTAATCTAGTCTGTATGAATGGAGGAACTTGTTTTGTAAATGAACGGGACCAGCCAAAATGCAAGTGCAAGCCTCGTTATGCAGGACGGGAATGCGAAATGGATCAGTGCAAAGGATATTGTCAAAATGGAGGAATCTGTTCAGCATCAACGTTAGGTACTGTAAATCATCACCGAGCAATGAGAAATCGAATGTTTATCTGATTGCGGACTGCCTGCAATCTACTTTTCCTTGTGTTGTATAAACACAGCGATATTCAATGAAAAGAAAAGCTCTCACATTAGTGAATAGTGGAAACTGCATGTTAACAACCTTGAAAAAGAAAGTTTGACGGGTTTAGTGTTTTGCATTCACATCAGGAGTGTGGGCACACATCTCAATATTGTTGTCCTTCATGCAACACACCAATATGTTTTTCATTTGCAAGTACTGTCTAGCAGCTTTGCAATTTGAACTGAATGCTAAGATATGGAATGCAACCCAAGACTGGTCTAGCCTCAATATCAGTAGAGGAACTGTAAACTACATCTGAAAAACAGTCAAGGACAAATAAAGATAACAGCGCAAACTGAGGACAAAACTATTTATATGCAACAGATATTGAAACTAATTTACAAAAGTTTGTGTTCTTGTAGAAATTTAGTTTCCTCAATATTTTGTACTTTTTTGGAAGTAATGTTCATGTGCCATTTCTATCTTATTGCAGATTTGTGCAGCCTCCCGTAAGATATTTGTGATATTGCAGAAATTTCTTGTGATTTAAAGCCAAGCTTACAGAAGCATCTTCACTCAATATTGATTTAAATACTTATAATCAAGTGTAATGAGGTTGTCGACATGCTCTTCGAGCCGGTATGTTTGGTTGCAAATGTTTCATCACCCTGCTAGGTAACGTCATCAGTGCATATCCAGTGAAGCGTTGGTGTTCTGTCCTGCTTGTTACTTAAATGCCTCAGTTTGCTGGGGTGAAACGTGCTACTTCCGATTTTGTTTCTCAGTGGTTTGTACACAGGGTCTAATTCAATGTGTTTGTTGATGGAGTTCCGGTTGGAATACCAGGCCTCCAGGAATTCCCTGTCGTGTCTCTGTTTGGCCTGTGCGAATATCAATGTGTTGTCCCAGTCAAATTTTTGTCCCTCGTTGTCCGTGTGTAATGAGACAAGTGAGAATTTTTTGTTTCTCTTGGTGGCTAGTTTGTGGTCATGTATCTGTACAGTCAATTTTCTTCTGGTTTGGCCTATGTAGTGTTTCTTACAGTCCTTGCATGTTATTGTGTACATGACCCTAGTTTTACAGGTTTTGGGTATGGCAAAACTGAGGTCATATACAAAATACCACGCCATGAGACATGACCAATTCTCACTTGTCTCACTACACACAGACAACGAGGGACAGAAATTCGACTGGGACAACACATTGATATTCGCACAAGCCAAACAGAGACACGACAGGGAATTCCTGGAGGCCTGGTATTCCAACCGGAACTCCATTAACAAATACATTGAATTAGACCCTGTGTACAAACCACTGAGAAACAAAATCAAAAGTAATACCTATCAGCCCAGCAAACCAAGGCGTATAAATAACAGGCGTGACAGAACACCAACGCTTCACTGGACGCTCACTGACGATGTTACCTAACAGGGTGATGAAACGTTTGCAACCAAATCCACCAGCTCGGTGAGCAAGTCTATAACCTCATCCACAACCCAAGTTACAAATCTTCTCGAAACCTTTAAATCAAGTGTATTAAACACTTTGCATCTCGCCCATTTTGATACCTTATTCCTCAAAAGCCATTGTCCTTCACAGGCCTGCAGTTATAACAACTTGAGTTTAATGTCCCATTTGAATTATCAACAAAATATTGACAAAGAGTCCATTTGTGAATAGCACAGCTGAAATTCTTTATTGGTTTCAAGTTACTGGTTAAAAAAAAAATCTTATGCCACAGTTAAAAAGAAAAGTGCTGTAGTCAAATTGACATGCTGCACTAACCATGGAGTCATGCTGCAAGTCAGTGCTTAATTGTTTAGAGCACTGCTATCACTACCATTTCATGATGCATGTTTAAGTACAAACTTCAGCATATTATCAATATCCTGCATTTTACTTGCTAATGTACCTAATGAACCACACTGACAACCAATTGAAATTTATTTACGCACTGCAAGATCTTTATTTTCTTTTAAGTTATCCCAATTTATAATTTCCTTCTTTGGACAATGATTCATAAAGAAGGGCAAAATTCGGGTAAACGGAATTTAATTTGGAGACAGTACTAGTCTTCACAACAGGTGGGAGAGTAATGAGTCTGGAGCTGCTGAACTTAAATTCACTACTGTGCTCCTGTGTCTGGAATAAAATGAACTGTCGATCAAGCAGCCAAATGAATACCAGTCACAAGGCATCAGAAAAAAATCTCTGCTGTAGCAAATGCATCACCATTAATTAAATAGGTTGCCGAATTGGCTAAACTGTGATTTAACACTTTTGGATTGATCCAATTCAGGCTGTTGGCCCATTGCAATGCACGTTTCTAATATTGATTATATGGCTATTAAAGAGGCTTTATTTTACACATCTTTCTTTTCAACCATGTTTAGGAAAGCCAGCTTGTCGCTGTCCAATAGGATTCACTGGTCCAACTTGTAAGAAGAGAGTTTGCGACAGCTTCTGTCTCAATGAAGGCATTTGTGATGTGAACACAGGAAATCAGCCTTATTGTTACTGTCTACCAGATTTCACAGGGGACAGATGTCAATACAGTGAGTGTTATGACTCTAATATTTTGCATCAAAAGTTTGTATTGAGTTGAATTTAATAGAGTCGGCAGTGGTCTCATCCACTGGGTGGAAAGGCAGCGAAAAACCTTCCATGGTCATATCTGGAAACTCTGATAGTAAATGTCCATCAAGCAGAATGTCTTCAGGTTTTTCCTCATGCTATAAATGAAAAAAATCTGTGTCGAAGAGCTGCCAACCAATTGAATGGCCAATAGTTCTTCAGTCCTACTGGCATCTCAGGGATAGGTGCCTAGTGCTGGGAATTCAGAAGGCTATGAACAGCAACCATAGAGGAAGCCAAACAAGAAAGGTAAGCAGGGCATGCTTGCAAGAGCCAGTCATTGTAGACCCCAGCAAAGGTGGTTTCGTCTGGAGGACATGGGGGGTCTTCCAGCAAGGCAGCTATTGCTACTGCGGGGATTCTCTGTGGGTCACTGGGTACCTGATTTGGAGATTCTCCTCCCCATCTGCCAGCCTGAGGACACAGAGAGGCCACCAGGACAAATTAACATTGGTGGTGGAATGAGACACTTAAATATACCCTAATTTGCCTTAATTGGCCTCCGAGCAGCAAGGCTGGTCGCAACCTACCCTGTCCATGACCATCTCTATGCCCTTGTCCAATCCCTGACCTCCAGTCCTTATGCAGAGGGAACAAATGCTGAAAGTAGAAGCAAGGCTGAGAAGCTAATGAAGATATCAATACGCGCACGCACACACACACACACACACACACACACACACACACACACACAAACACACACAGAGTGTAAGTTTTATATGCATAGTGTGTAAGTTAAACACCAGGATGATGATGTCAGTTTTTTTCCACAGTGGTATTTGGAGTTAGAGAAAGAAGTAGTAGGCAAATTGTTTCAAGATTAAGGTAGCATGTGCAGGACTGAAATGATATTTGAAATGGCTGTGCTTTTTTGAAAAGAAGTGTTTACGTAGGAACTGCAGTCAATTAACTGGGGATTAAAGCAGTTCAAAATAAGTCTAAAGTAAATATAGATTTTAACAAGGCAGTTGATAAGTTCCAACATGACAGACTAAGCAGCAAAGTAAAAGCTGATGGGACCTAAAGCTAGGCAGTAAATTGGATCCATGTGTAGCTCAGGGACAGGAAACAAATGACAATAGTCACAGTTGGGGTCCCACAGGGCATTTTTTTAAATGATTCCAGAGGGTGTAGCCATCATTGGCAAGGCTGGCATCTGTTGCCATCACTAATGAGCTTTGAGAAGGTGTTGGACACTGCCTTCTTGAACTGCTGCGGGACATCCAGTGGGTAGCACCAACTGCTGGAGAAAGGAGCTCCAGAATTTTGATCCTGTGAGATTGAATGGACTGCAATATATTTGCAAATTAGGATGGTATTTTTATAGAGAAACTTGCAAGTCATAGTGTTCCCATGTATTTATTGCCCTGTTCAGGGCCATGATTTTGGAAGATGCTGTTGAAAGAGCCCTTATGAGTTTCTACAGTGCATCTTGGATGCTGTGCATCAGTGGTGGAGAGAGTAAATTTTAAAGTTGCTGGACAGGATGCCAATTAAATGAATTCCTTCTTACTGGATAGGATCAAGTTGTTATCGGAGTCACACTCATGCAGCCAAGTGCAGGTTATTTTGTGCACTCCTGAATTGTGTCTTATGGATGAAAGATAAGCTTTGGAAAATCCAAAGGATACCCAGAATCGTACCTTGCATTGTTCAGTTTCTGTTCAATGATAGCCCCAGGATGTTGGCCATTCAGTGGCAATTATGTTATTGCATGTTACGTTTATGTTTATTTATGTTATGTCAAGGAGCAATGGTTAGATTATCTCTTGTTGGAGATGGTCGTTGCCTGGTATTTGTGTGAAATCAATGTTTGTTTCTACTTATTAACTCAACCAGAATGTTATCCAGGTCTTGTCATATGTGGCACAGGTCACAGACTGATTCAGTATGCTTTGAGTATACTCTGGATGGAGAACTTTGATGATCATCAAAAAGAGTGGTTCAGTAGCACCACTTGTGAATGAGCTAAACGAACCATAAAGGACGTAATTGTTATGGGAAATGATGAGGGAACAAACAAGAGGGAAAAATTTACTTAGCTTCATTCCCACCAATCTACCTATGGCAGATGCATCCATCCATGATCGTATTAGTAAGAATGGAACTGCCACTGCATTTAATAGGATGGATTTCAAACAGATCTAGCAGCTCAAAACTGAGAAACAATGGGGTGTTGTGTGACATCAGCAGTAGCTGAATTGTGTTTGAGCACAATCTGTAATCTTATACCCTGCCATATTCAACCACTCTACCATTATCATCAGGAAGTAATGTCAGGAACAGCAACAAACATAACTAAAAATGAAGTGTCAGTCTGGTGAAACTACAACACAGGGCTACTTGCATGCCCAACAGTGAAAGCAGCATGCAATAGGCAGAGCTAAGCGATTCCATAATCAACAGATTAGATCTAAGATTGAAGAGGACAGAATATGGCAGATGGAGTTTAATGTGGATAAGTGCAAGGTTGTCCATTTTGCCTGGAAAAATGAAAGGGTAAATTATTATTTAAGTGGGAAGCAGTTTCAAAATGTGTGTCAGTGCAGAGGGATCTGGGTGTCCTTGTTTATAAGTTACAGAAAGTGAGTATGCAGGTGCAGCATATAATAATAAGAAAGGCAATATAGTCCTGGCATCTATTGCAAAAGGATTGGATTACAAAAGTTTAAAAGGGTTGTTACAATTACATAAGATTTTGGTGAGACCACACCATTATGTCCAGTTTTGGTCTCCTTACTTGAGGAAGGATGCACTTACACTGGCAGCATGTCAGAGGACGTTGACCAGGTTGATTCCAGGGATGAAAGGGCTGTTGTACGAGTAGCAATTGAATATCTTGGGCTTATCTTTGCTTCAGAAGAATGAGGGGAACCTGACTGAGGTACAAAAATGCTAAAGGGGCTTGATAAGGTGGATGTTGAACAGATGTTTCCGCCTTGTGGGACAGTATTGAATAAGAGGTCATAGATATAGAGTGAGGGGAGGTACGTTCAAAACTGAGATGAGGAAAAATTAGTTCTCTCAGAGGGTTGTGAATCTTTGGAACTCATTGCTCCAGAGTGCAAGTGGGATAAAGGGCTATTGGGACCAGGTAGGAAAGTGGAGTTGAGACCAGGATAAAATCAGTCATGATCATTTCAAATGGCTGACTGGGCTGGAAGTGCAGAATTGCCTACTCCTGCTTTTAATTCCTACGTTCCATCTGTTCTGTGTTCGTATCTACAATGGTTGGAGGCTCCACAAATGATCCCCATCCTCAATGTTGGGTGAGCCCAGCGCATCAGTGCAAAAGCATTTGCATCTATCTTCAGACAGAAGAGCTGAACAAATGATCCATCTCAACCTCCTCCTGATTTCTTAGCATCACAGATGTTGGTCTTTAGCCAATACAATTCAATCTATGTGAAATCGATAAGTCACTGAAGTAACCTGAGCAAGACTCTGGCAGCACGGTGTGGGAGGTGAAGCCTGGAATGGGACTGTAGTGGCAGCACGGTGTGGGCAGGTGAAGCCTGGAGTGGGACTGTAGCAGCAGCATGGTGTAGGCAGGTGAAGCCTGGAGTGGGTCTGTAGTGGCAGCGTGGTGTAGGCAGGTGAAGCCTGGAGTGGGACTGTAGCAGCAGCACGGTGTGGGCAGGTGAAGCCTGGAGTGGGTCTGTAGCGGCAGCATGGTGTGGGAGGTGAAGCCTGGAGTGGGTCTGTAGCGGCAGCATGGTGTGGGAGATGAAGCCTGGAATGGGACTGTAGCAGCAGCACCGTGTAGGCAGGTGAAGCCTGGAGTGGGTCTGTAGCGGCAGCATGGTGTAGGCAGGTGAAGCCTGGAGTGGGACTGTAGCGGCAGCATGGTG